AATCTCATCATTGCATCTTTTGTTTTTGACATTAACTGCACTGTCTACAATAATCTACAGAAGTTTAGTGCAAATGCATCTGTCATTTAAGATTAATTAACGGGTGCAACATGAAGATATTGTATAGTGATCCTCAAAAAATCATGAATAAAAGTACACAAAGTAAAACAAAATATGACCCAGATGATGTTAAATACAGGTCCACTTCTAGTAAGGATGGATATGGTTTAGTGTCGAACACAAATGCTTTTTATGTAGTAAATTATTGAATGCTGAGATCATGAAACCTTAGAAATGTTGCATTTTAAAAAACAATAAATCAATTACATCCCTGCATCTTGGAATTCAGTTGATTTGCAAATGATTCGATTATGTTGAGTTTAAAAATATCAACAAAAAAACATCACATAGTTTTTTTATTTTTTTCATGAAATAAGGATTTTTCAAATTATATATGTGTATCAGCTTTAATGCACTTATCAAAACAACAAAGTAGTCGAATGTTGAAGTTTTGGTTTTAATGACAAAAATAAATATTTAAGATGTATTATTTAAATTAGTCTGCAAACCATTTAACTTTGCATAAACACAGAAATATAAGTGAATAAATATGGTTTTCATTAACGTTCTGTTAATAATTGCATGTACAGATATAGCAGAAAAATCTGGCTCATGTTTGCATTTTCTTCTGTCACTGGCCATATTTGAAATCAGGATTAGGTATAAAATACTGTCACATATGTGAAAATGTGTTGAGAATTGAACAAATGGTTGTAATGTGGCTCAGATTCAGATAGGAGTCATGCGTTTGTGGTGTTTTTCTGCTGAATAAGAGAGAATACAATAATTCTTCACCTTACAAATGGTTCTCAAAAGCAAAAATGCTACGAAAAGCATCATATCTTGTGAGAAACCGTGACAAGTTCAAGCAAAACAGAAACTAGTTTTGGAATCAACAGCCCAAAATGAGAAATTTAATTCATTTATAGCTTGATTTTCCTTGTTTGATCACACCTAGCTAGACCTTCAAATCACACAGAGTAAGATACTTTGAATCTCCAGGAATGAACAGATTCACGTATCGACCCTCCTTGTCATTACACATATAAAGAGAGACAGATAAAACCTAATTTAGACTTCATTTAGACTAGTATTGAAATCAAAATGTGTTTATAAAGCTCTGTAAAAACTTTTTTTACAACACTATATCGTAAGTGTGTCCCACTGGTTAATCAAATGTTTACGCACACTTGCTATCTTAATGCCTACTTGAACACGTGGGCCAAATACAGGGAAAACATCATGTAAGTAGACATGTGGGAAAGTGCAAAGGTTGGAAGTGTGTTTTCATTGTTTTAATGATGTAATTTTAGTCACATGACATTTGGAGCTCAGCTGATTGGCTGCCAATGACAGCAACATCACATCTCCCAGTTTGTTTGCTAACAGACAGCAAACTGCAAACAGGGCTTCATCTACGCCCTAACACAGTTATAATATTATAATTACAATATTCAGCTGATGTTGTGTTCTTAAATATAATTGTAATCAATTGTTTTGTTCTACAGGACACAGGTAATCAAATGCAGCATGATCACATGGTTCCTGTGAAACTCATCCTCATTTGACCACACTAATACATGTGAACATTTTCCTACACATTTATATTGAAATTACTGGAAGACCTCTTCTTAGAAAACAACTTTAAAGAAGTTTGTCTTGTGCAAATCATTCGGTACACCTTTTCCTTAAATGCAAAGTCAACGATTTCCCTGAAGAATGAAAATAATGACTGTTTCCGAAAATAAATCTGTTAGTGTCTGCAGATGCTTCATCGATCATCATAGGCTTTAAACAAATATCTCAGATCCATCTATGCATCCATAATTTATCAGTTGATCCTCTGCAGCAACATGTTTTGCTTTGCAAACTCACAGGTCACGGCACATTTAATGACCCAATTTCACAGGGAAATCCTCTAGCTGACAAAGTGAGCCTCCACACGTCAACCGCAAACACAGATGCAACATTATAACTCCAAATCATATATGAACCGCTGCTTTATGATGCCTTTAGGTTATACGAAATAACAAAACAATGAAAACCAATCAAATTTGAATAAAATTGCACTTAAGATTTATGTAATGAATTGCATATACAATTTCCATCCATTTGGATTAGACAGTTTAATAAACTTAATGTGAGGCATATTTTTCAGTCATACATACAGCAATTGAAACAGATCAGATTTCTTTAATAGTGCTAACTTTGATAAAATATTTTGTTTCAGTCTCATACATTTAATTCTGTGAGCAGAGCTGTTTTTGACAATGTAAAAAGGATTTACACGACAATTGAGGAATTTTAACCAAAGTACACTCTAAAAAATGCTGGGTTGTTTCAACCCAACTTTGGGTCAAATATGGACTAACCCAACTTTTGGGTTAAAAATTTAATTAAAAAATGTAACCCAACAGCTGGGTTAGTCCACTTTTGACCCAAAGCTGGGTTGAAACAACCCAGCATTTTTTAGAGTGTATGTTGCAGACATTTCATGAAGACCCTAAAGAATCATACCAACTTGTGGAAAATGGGCATCCGATGTCCCCTTAAAAAAAAAATAGAAAAACAAACTAAAAATGAAAAGTTTATTAATTTGTTTGTTAAATCTGTGTACATACATTTTAAATTTAAGCCTAAACATATTTTGAATGTTGGGTGATTGACCTCACAAAAGAAGATATCAGCTATGTGAAGGAAAATATTTTTGAAGGAAAACATTCCAGTTGATCTATGTCACAAAAAAAGTGTCTTTCTGAACACTAATAGCTTACAGTGGTGCTTGTGTCTGTGTTTGAGGCAAAACGGCTAAAAATGTACAGTCTGACATCTGTATGAAGTGACGGCTCTTTGTTTGAGGTTTGAGCAGATGATGGACTACTGTGAAGCTCCAGATTTACATCCTGTCTGAGAGCATTCAAATACACACAAAACAACATGGAAATGATCAGCGATCAGACTGATGGAGTGGAAATCAGGATACATGAACTAAAGGTCTGTGGGTTCATCTGGAGCTGCTATAATTAACATACAGTACATGTAGAGATTTAAAGCATTTGTCCAGATTTCATCACTGGACGAAGAACAAAAGCAACTTTCTACAGCTGTACTTTCACACTATGTTCCTGGTGATTTGCGTAGTTACAAGAATTTCCACTGGCCCGGCCATATTGTAATACATTTCTATTCAGTTTTACCTCATTCTATACAATATCAGATCAGTGAAAATCTTGAGTTTACCTTAGAAATCCCTTTTTTTTCAGTGCATCTTCAATGATTAAACAATTTTCCACCAGAGACCAAAACACAATCTCCTGGACGCAACCTGACAAAGCATTAAAAAGGGGGTTTAAAATGGAATGAGCATGAAAGGAGAATAATTGGTTGGTGTAAACAAATGTTGATCACCGATGTGAGACTAGAAATACTTTCTACACTGTCATTTGTCCATTTGTTGTTGTTGATAATCTAGTGTCTGATAAACAAACATTCAAGACAGAATAAATGTGTAAACATCACAGAATTTAGGAAATGTTGTAATCAGCTGAAAATTTCTGTTCATTAACAATTTATCAGGGTATTTTAATCATCATAATAAATGACTAACAAGATAAAGCTACAACAAATTAGCTTTTTACTGAATTATTAAAAAAAAAAAAAATCAGTAAAAACACAGGTACGTTCCCTCCACATTGCATAATTTGCTGTCCATGTCAAGCTGCCAATGATAAATAAAATTAAACATTTTCCTTATTTTTTTAAACATGCATCCTTATTTTTAATGTTTTCTTAATTGAATATGGTTTTCTCGTCTATTTATTCCATTGCTTTCATTCGGATGTTCCACATATTGATTTGATGATACTTTACAACAATTTGTTTTTCTCATTCAGAATAAACTACTTGAATGATAAAAGATGTTCAAGAAGAAAAATGCCTAACATAGGACAACACAATATGGTTATGTTGTTGCAATTTCTAAGAATGATTATGTTTTCTTTGACTTGTATATTAGTCATTTAGATTAAGAAAATCTGTATGAAAATGAATCTTAAGTACCAGTGATTTATTTGTATTTTTATTTTTGGTCCCAGAAAAAAAAAAAAATCCTTAAAGTCCTCATCTTCATTTCCATTTTGCCAGATTTGTTTAGTAAATCAGACTTGACCTGAGAGGTGTGCTGAGAAAAGCAATTCTGGAGGTACCATGATGTATGAAATATATTCAGCAAGCTGTCAGTGAGGATTTCCTAAGGGTGGAGAAACTAGCTGCTAAGAGAAACATAAAAGGAGGGATGGATGCCCTTGTCATATCTGACTAGCACAGGTATCTGGTTAATGATCTTTAAAAAACAAGATGGAGGGACACTCTTATCTGTTCTTACTTTTGGGTGAGTATAAATGACACGCATCAATCAAATGATGTACAATTATAGATGCTGTTTAGCTATTCTTTATGAACATTTTTAAAGAATCAAATGGAACATAAACTTGATTGACATCCCAGAAAGCAATGGAAATATTTTGTTTTTGTAACAGGTGTCTTTTCCATTCAGGGGAGTTCAGAAAACTTGGAAGGTAAAAAGTACTAACTAAGGTCCCATTAATTAACACGCATTAACTAACATTAACCAATACACAAGTTTATTTATTCATCTTTGTCAATGTTGGTTAATAAAATCCAGTTAGTTAATGTAAGCGCAGATCCATTAAAAAAATATTAACTTCAGATTTTAATGTAGTAGTAAATGGAATTGAGTGTTTTGGATTGGAATGTAATATTTGAACCCAAATGGAATGTACTGAAACTTCACACACGTTTGCCTTGAACCTCTGTCTCTTTAAATGTTTTTTTTAGAGAATTTGGCATTAAAAGGAACGGCTGTACAGTCGACCACATATTACAGCTGGGGAGCTGCAAACGCCATCGATGGCATCAGATACGCTCCAGGTGAAGCCTCATCCTGCTCCATCACGTTAAGCCATCTCAACCCGTGGTGGAGGCTGGACCTGCTGGATTATTACTACATTTACAAAGTGACCATCACCAACAGAGCCGACTGCTGTCCAGAGCGCATGACTGGAGTAGAGATCCGCATCGGAAACTCTCTGGAAAACAACGGCAACAACAATCCCAGGCGAAGTTATGAAAATAGTAGGTTCTGGGCAAAAAAATCAAATGCGATTTTCATGCGCATCTCATCAGTAAATCAATTAATCATTTAAGCTATTATTAAATCACATTTAGTAATTTTCTTACAGCAGATAGAAATATCACACAAATAGCTATTTAACGTAGGCCTATATATTAAACATACTTGAAGAATATCAAGAAAATACTATTTAGCTTTGTGATTTAAAAAAAAAAAGTATCTCACAACAGTAAAAAGCTTTTAATGTATTTTCCAAAATCAATTAGATGCATACGCAAGTATGCATGGGGACAGGAAATATACAATAATTAATAAAAAAAATAAGCTATTGAGTAGAGCGTTACTTTATTATACTTAATATAACATTATTATATCCTGAATTTCTATGTTGTAAAAAAAAATTGTTCTATGAACTTCTATCAAGTTCATGCTTGTGTCTACGTGACGTGATATTTGTGTTTACATCTCCATACAAGACAAACGGAGATGTACACGCACATATATACTTGTGTTATCTGTCGTGCTTTTCAGTCTTGTCGCCAAATGAACCATTTGCAGTGCCATAGATTGTGTTGTGGTTTCTCTCTTTCTCAAGTTTCAAGATTCAAGTTTGTTTTATTTATATAGCACATTTAAAAACAGCAAGCATGGCTGACCAAATTGCTGAACAAACAAAGACATAGAACACAGAGCAACCAACAGATTCATACCATAAACTCACAATGACTTTAAAAACCAAAGAGAAGAAATAGCTTTTAAGAGATGATTTAAAAACAGTTAAAGACTGTGCCGATCTGATATAGCCTGGAAGGCTGTTCTAGGGCCACCAACTGCAAAGGCTCTATCCCCTCTATACTTTAACCATGATCTGGGAACAGAGAGAAGTCTTTGATCACCATACCTCAGATTACGTGTAGGATTGTATGGACAAAGTTGATCAGACAGATAGCTCTTTCTCTCTGCAGATGTGCTGTCGTCACTTCACCAGTTCCAGCAGGTGGTACTGTCAGTTTCTCTTGCGGCAGAATGGCTGGTCGTTATGTGAACATGTACCTTCCTAACATCCAGATGTATCTCACGCTGTGTGAGGTGGAGGTTTATGGAGCAGATAATTTCTGACACCTAATTCTAGATTGTTACGGTGCAGTCACGTTAGTGAAATTTCATGTGGAAAAAAATAGGTCCATTGTCAATAGCATAAAGATGTACAAAGCACAGCTCACAAAGATGTCAGTTTCAGCATCTTTCTGTTGGTCAAATTCGCATGATCAAAATGAAAAAGAGCAAAATCTGTGTGGGGATTTTTTTTTTTTACCCTCAAGCTTACAATGCTTACCGTGGTGATAAAATACATAGCAGACTGTTGTCACTCAATGGCTGGATGTCTAAGTGGTGCCCGCAGAATAACATAGGTTTCATAGTCAATTGGACAAATTTTTGGGGCAGACCTGACCTGTTGAAAAGAGATGGTCTTCATCCCTCCTGGTGCTGCTCTTCTGTCTAGAAATATGGCACATAGTCTTAGAGTTTGTACTTGACTAACTCAGCACATAGAAGGTAAAGGAGGAGGTGGTGCTACAATTTATAGCAACATTTTCAGTATTTCTCAGAGATCTGGTTTCAAGTATATATATATATATTTTTGTTTTGTTTTGTTTAAGTAATGGTGCTCTATATAATATTATGTAGTGTAATAAGTGTTAATGATACATTTTTTTGTGACGTTTGTACTGGCTACTGTATACAGGACACCAATGCACCATACAGACTTTCTCAAAGAATTTGATGATTTTCTATCTGAGTTAGTGCTGGCTGCAGAAAAAAGTCTTAATTATTGGAGATTTTAATATCCATGTAGATAATGAAAAAGATGCATTGGGATCAGCATTTATAGACATTCTAAATTCTATTGGGTACAGACAACATGTGCCAGGACTCAGGACCTACTCATTGTCATAATCATCCTTTGATGTAATACTATCACATGAAATTGATGTTAATGGCATTGGAATTCTGCAGCAGAGCGATCATATCTCAGGTCATTATCTAGTCTTGTGTATACAGGTACTCCATATAGCTACAGCTGCAAACTCAACTCCTTGTTACAAATATGGTGCAACCATCACTTCTACAACAAAAGACTGCTTTGAAAATAATCTTCCTGATTTTTCTCAATTACTCAGCAAATCCAATAGCTCAGAAAAACTTGATGTTGTAACACAAATTATGGACTCTATTTTCTAGCACTTTAGACACAGTTGCTTTATGCTTAAAGAAAATTAAGGAAAACAGTCCGACACCATGGTATAATGAGCACACTCACGCCCTAAAGAGAGCAGCCTGGAAAATTAAGAGCAGCTGGAAGAAAACAAAACTAGAGGTATTTCGTATTGCATGGAGGGAAAGTATTTCCTCCTACAGAAAAGCAATATAAACTGCTAGATCTGCTTACTTTTTGTCTCTTTTAGAAGAAAACAAGCACAACCTCAGGTATTTATTCAATATTGTGGCTAAATTAACAAAAATATAAAGCATCAGCAGGTGCAGACATTTCCCAATAGCACAGCAGTAATAACTTTATGTACTTCTTTACTTGCAAGATTGAAACCATTATAGATAAAATTATAAGCCGTCAGCTACAGTATCACATCAGATAGTGCACTATAGATCCACTGAGGGACAATTCCACTCATTCTTTACTATAGGAGAGGAAGAATTGTATAAACTTATATCATTTAAACCAACATGTATGTTAGACCCTATACCATCTAAGCTACTAAAAGAGGTGCTTCCAGATGTCATAGATCCTCTTTTGAATAAATGTAGTTCAAATCATACTTAGCTGACCGTCATCAATTCGTAGCAGTGAATGAAGAGGTATAATAATCAATCACAAGTGCAATATGGAGTACCACAAGTCTCCGTACTAGGACCGTTGCTTTTCATGCTTTGCATGTTAGCATTTGGAGATATCATCAAGAAACATAGTGTTAGCTTTCAATGTTATGCTAATGATACTCAGTTCTATATTTCATTGCAGCCCGACAAAACATACCAATTCACAAAACTAACAGAATGCATAGTTAAAATAAAAAACTGGATGACTAGTAATTTCCTACTGCTAAATTCTGAAAAAAACAGAGGTGTTAATTATCGGACCAAAAACCTACACATGTAATTACCTAGAACACTGTGTAACACTTGATGGCTGCTCTGCCAATTCTTCATCATCAGTTAGGAACCTAGGTGTGCTATTTGATCCCATTGTATCTCAAATAAAAGCCTACCTCAAAGCAATCACTTAACTGCTCTAGTGTGAAATAATGTTACTTAAGTTTTTTTTTTTGTATATGGTTCTATCTCTATAAAAGTCTATCTCTATTTTTGCAGAAGACTAGGCAACAATTCTAGTGGTAACTTGTTTTTAATTATTTAATTATATATATTACACAAATACATCAATCAGCTGATTAGTCAAGAACAGTCTTTAACCAAACTTTAATGAAATGGTACAATATAGACATGTTAACAGAATAACTCAATGAGATCATCTGGAGATAATATTCAGTGTATTTTTAAAAAGATTTAAAAGCAACGCATTGTTTAATGTTGTCAGACTCTCTTCCTGTTTGGTGTGGTGTTCTCCTCCCCCACGTGCTCCATGACCCAGTTTTCCCTCATGTTTGATTATGTTTATTGATTTCAGGTGTTCCTCATTGTGTCCCTCCTCTAGTCCTGTGTATTTAAGGTGTTTCCTGTTTTGAGTTCTCTGTCCGGTTTTGAATGTCGTCTACCTTGCTACGTGTGTGTTCCTGGTTTTCTTTGGATGTTAAAGTCTCCTAGTTGAAGTACTCCACGTCTCCTCATTCCTTGCTCCCTCACAGTAGCGAAGCGTGACAGAAAACCGGACCTGAACAGTAAGCGGCGCGCCTTCTCCCCGTGTTTGTTTTTCGTTTTTGAAAAGTCTTTTGTTTTTCCCGTTTGTTTCTCCCCGCAGCCATGGAAATAGGCGCTCTTTTCATTGCTCTAGCCCGTAAGGATCTCCCCTTCGTCGAGTATGCCTGGGAGTTCTGCGGGCTCGCCGCGGCAACGGCGTTGGATGACGCCACCATCAACTCTCTATTCTGGCACGGGATCAATTACCATCGCCCCATGGACCTCCCAGACACCACAGGACTAAGTTGGATGGAAGGGATCCTCCGGTGTCTGGAGAGAGTCCGGACCTGAGCCAGAACCAGTCCACCGACCATTCATCAGTCAAGCGCACTGGCCGCGGCTCACTCAAGCCCGCCGGCCGCCCTATTCACCTGTAACCAAAAGAGGAGGATGAGGCGAAAAGGATGGCTCTCGGCCCTCATCCTCGCTCCAGTGTCGGCTCCAGCCCCAGAGCTCGCTCCAGTGTGGGCTCCAGCCCCCGAATCCTGCCCAAAGAGGGCTCCTGTTCATGAGTTTAGCCCACGGAGGGCTCCTGTCCCCGAGTTTAGCCCACGGAGGGCTCCTGTCCCCGAGTTTAGACCAGAGAGGATTCCAGTCCTCGAGTCTAGCACAGAAAGGGCTCCAGTTCCCATGTCCAGCCCAAGGTGGGCTCCAGTCCCCAAGTCAAGCCCAGGGATGGCCACATTTCCCGAGTTAGGCCTACGAAGGGCCTCTGAAACTGACATTCTCACCAAGGATTTTTTTTTGGGGGGGTAGTAGGGGTCCGTCCGTGGAGGCCAGGCTGAGTGCCGAGGCCAGGCTCCCCGAGCTCCCTGTTCCCCTACTAGTCTGTCTACTCCGACATGGCCTCCTAGTCTGCCTGCTCCGCCATGGCTTCCTAGTCTGCCTGCTCCGCCATGGTTGCAGAGCAACTGCCTGATGGAACCCATGGGTCCCGGAACGGGTACCGCCCTGGAGGCTGTCCATCCCTGGAAGCCTGTCATGAGAGGCCTCCAGAGTACCCCCCCCCCCTCCGATGGTTGTTCTGAGGCCACAACTCGCAGTAACTTCATTTCAATTCTGTACTTTTTTTTGTCTGTAACAATCCATCACAAAGTGCTTAACATCACATTTGTATGTGGGTGTGAAATTTAGTTTTGCATGTATGTTCACTCTACTTTACAACAAATGTGTTTGTTTAAATATTTTTTGGGTTATGCAGGTAAAGATGCCCCCCATGCAGCTGACGTGTCGTCTGCCTATTCCTGCCCATCATCGGAGACTGTAGGCCCTGAAGATGCACCTGATATTCACAGTGATTCAACATCCGGTACAATCCATTTAATATTCTACAATACATCAGTAAGCCAGAACGGGTACCGCCCTGGAGGCCGTCCGTCCCTGGAAGCCTGTCCTGAGAGGCCTCCAGAGCGTCCACCCCCCACGCCTTCCGGGAGGGGGGAGTAATGTCAGACTCTGTTCCTGTCTTGTGTTGTGTTCTCCTCCCCCACGTGCTCCATGACCCAGTTTTCCCTCCTGTTTGATTATGTTTATTGATTTCAGGTGTTCCTCATTGTGTCCCTCCTCTAGTCCTGTGTATTTAAAGTGTTTCCCGTTTTGAGTTCTCTGTCCGGTTTTGAATGTTGTCTACCTTGCTACGTGTATGTTCCTGGTTTTATTTGGATGTTAATTAAAGTCTCCTAGTTGAAGTACTCCACGTCTCCTCATTCCCTCACAGTAGCGAAGCGTGACAAATGTGTAACACTAATCATTTTTAAATGTAGTTTTACATTTAAATATGTTCATTTTCTAACATAAAAGTATGTCAACAGGACAAACAAGATGCTTACACTGAGCCATGTGGCTGCCATGATAAAATCTCATATGCTTGCTAGCCACACCTATATTAGCATAGGTTGTTCATGTTAATTTTTTAATCAATAATCTAGAGATAAAATGTATGTAAGTTTACATTTGCAGTCATCTAAACTTTAGAGAGCAGAAGGAAAATACTGTACATGCAAAAAGTAACTTTCATACATCAAAATCATACATCAAAAGTATTTAGTTTAAAACTTCTGCTGAGGTTAAATGATCGTGCTCCTTTTCCACAGACAGCGAGAGAAGCCTACTGAGTATGTGCTGTTTAAGTGTCATCACTCTAGCTTGTTTCTGATTGGAAGAATTCAGTGTTTTACAATTGC